CTGTTTTGTTGAAAATCACTAATTCTATCAAAGAAAGGCTCATGCCTCTGTCACTCAAGGATGGGGCGGTTGCTCGGCGTGCCCGTAATGTTTGGGACCTACCCTCTTCCTTCATCCATCCACCTCCTCGCCCGCCTGATGAGCCCTCTAGAGCAGTCGTGAGGCTGTTGTTACCAGTCATGGCTTGTTTACCGGAGATGGCGATGTTGAACAACTTACAGTTACAGCTTACAGTTGTTTGACTTCTAGGTTATTGAGCCTTTGGGCTTGTTGGGGTTTTTGTGCCTCTTGGGCTAGGATAGTTCTGTTGGGTTGGACCTCCTATTGGTCTTGTATCTTTCTTTCCCCTTTAGGCTCCATCTGTATATTCTTTTCTTTATATAAATTGCTTACTTTTCGAAAAAAAAAAAAAAAAAAAAAAAAAAAAATTTGGAAATGCTACATTTCAACAACAATTTGGTCTAAATTGTACAAATCCCCCATCAAAGAAGGTATGAAAGGCTTTAAATTACAAAGGTATCAATTATAAAGAATTCAATAATTCTAGGGATAATATGTTATTAATCACAGAGTAGAAGGGTGTTATGTGCACAAAAAATACAATATATAAAGAATTCAATAATTCCAGGGGTAATATGTTATTAATCTCAAAACAGAGGGGTGTTATGTGCACATAAAATACAATATATACATATATATATATATATATATATATATATATATATATATATTAATCTCAGAGCAGAGATTAACATAACTCCCCTCTGCACATAACACTCCTCTGCTCTGAGATTAATAACATATTACCCCCTTGGGGGTTGGTTGCATAAAGTCTTTTTCAGTCATTTTATAAAATGATATTTTTTTATATATTTTTATAAAATGTCAAAGTAAGGGCGTTTTTGTCTAACTCTACTTTAAATATGTTTTGATACATTATGGATGTTTTTCGCATGGGAGGGGTGAGATATGCATTGTAAGCATAATATGGGGGTGTTTTTTCACCAAAATCATAAAAATTAGCTTAAAATGCCCTGAATTAAAATTACGAATCTATTAAATATGATAATTTAATTTGATCAAGGTAAATAACAAATAAAACAAAGGGTTAAAGTGCAGAAAACCCCCCTATAATATAGGTTTTGTGTACAAATAATCTCTCTTATTTGAAAATGTGCATTTCAGTCCATAAAATTTATAAAAAGGTATAAATAGCCCATCTAATCATTTTTTGATCATTAATGTATTGTTTTTAAATGATTATTTAAAAACAATAATTGTTTTAGTTATGTTAAACTAAAACTAACTCAATTATATATGTTTGATTCATTAAATTTGAAGTCTATACAGTAGTTGTGATAGTTAATAACAATTTATTATAAAGAACTGAACGAGACTATGCGAGAAAACTTGGACTCATTACTATTTGATGTGACTACTTTTGAAATTGCAAATTAATTATACATCTGTGATTAGACCGATCTGATTGAGAACTGAACTTAACACCACTTATTGTGATGGGAAAAAAATCCTCTCTTGGTCTTCTCTCACTGGAACGTGTCCTTGGAGGGGTAAATGCTGACATGGCACTTTTAGTTTAAATGGTATTTACTAGACTTTTGTATAATATATACTACTTATAGACCATTTTTATATGAAATGTTTTATTCAATTAATTTGACAGAAATTTGAACTTCCCCCCAGAATTTGAATTCATTTCCCCCAAAAGTATTATATATATTTACGTCTCTCTCTCTAAAATCCAAACTAGAGGATGGAAGTTCCAAAATTTGGCTCTCTCTCTAAGATCCAAACTAGAGGATGGTAGTTCCAAAATTCTACAAAGAAGCAGAGCAAGAAATATTGTGGCAAAGTTGCATGTTTGGATTAGATTAGTTTTTGTTTATTTTTATTACTTGCAGAACTAATCTACCTATTAGTGGCTTGTTTTTAATTTATTGGTAGAGCCTAATTTGTTAGTCTTTCTTATTGTATTATTTTGTTGGATATGTAATGTTTTCCCATATACTGCATCATTATCTTATTTATTTGATTGTAAAATATTATTGTCCCTTTTCAGAGAAGCTCCGATTTAGGCTTCGTTTGGATACGGAGGAGAGAAAAGAAAAGAAAGGATTAGAAGAGAAAAGAAAAGAAAGGGAAAGAAAGGAAATGATAGCTATAATGTTTGGATAAATAGGAGAGAAAAGAAAGGAAAACATAATATACTTGTTTGGATAAAACAGAGGAGAGAAAAGAAAAGAAAGGATAATAATGAAATTACTATATTACCCTTTTATATATTTTGATAAATAATCATTCATAACTTGATAGCATACTGATTTTTTTTTTTCTCTCCCTCAGTTTCATTGGAAACTAAAATTAATAATAACTAAAAAAACAAGATAACTTGATAGCATACTAGTGTTGTTGTTTTTTTTTTTTTTTAATAAGTAACTTGATAATATACATATAACTTGATAGCATACTTCGAAGATAGATAGATATGGGTGTAAGATTTTTATACCACATTTTCTCATCTCTTCATAAACTTTAGGGTTTTTTTTTTTTTTTTTGGATAATTAAAATAATACTAAATAATTAATACCAACTAAAAGTTAGTATATTCTTTATTAATAGACAATTTTACTATAAATCAATGTATACACGTAAGATATGCAATACATTGTTCAATTATGTATCACATGCTTCTTAACTTGGATAAAAGAGTGCTACATATATATGGTTCTTCTATACCTGTAACACCACAAATATGTAGCCACACCCCTAATTCCCTGTGTTTAGATCAATATTTGCTTGTCCCTTACATAGGTAAACAAATTTTTTTAAAAGAAGAAGTAATATATATAAGTAAAAAATCACTTCTCAAACACTTCTCAATTGAAGACAGAATAGGCTCAATTCACAAAAAGTAAAATTATAACAAAACGACACAACAAATCACTTCTCAATTGAACACAATATAGCCTCAATTCACATCCAAGCTACATTCACACGCCTAGTATAACATAGTACACAGACTTTAATCCATTATAGTTTTTTGTTTCTACATTCACACGCCTACTCAGGAATTCATCAAGACCTTAAAAAAAAACATATGCCATCTTCAACACACCATACGAAGTTCTATAGAGCTTATATACCAAAAGCTCCATAACAAAAAAAATAAAATAAAATAAAATAGATACAAAAAAATACATAATTAAACTTAGACATAATACCAAGTTCTACTAATTATTCCAAAATATTACCAACTTAAAAGACATTGTCAAAAGTTAGTATAACCGAAACCATTATCAACGTCAAGAATCATTGGACATCAGTTCCTCCAGGAGTATCTTGCGAAGCACAGGTGGGCAACCAATAAATTGTGTCATTCTCTCAGGATGGTCACGCTTAGTCAGAAAAATAAAGGCCTTAACAGCTGCATGCCCCTCTAATCCAATTTCCGCCAAAATCTTAAAGAGTTCTTCTTCATATTTTCCCTTTTGGTTGCACTTCTCATAAATATGGTTGAATGTTTTGTGAATATCATTTCCCTCTTTTAGAGAAGCAGCCACACCTCTCACTATTTCAATTATTTCATTATCTCCATCAACAGTCGAATAATTCCTTTTTCTCTTTCCTTTTGAAGAAGTGGAATGGGAAGGTGCACTTGAAGGTGTTTCAGGAGACATCATATTCATATTCTCAAACTCATGATCCATAAAAAATGTATTATCCAAACTTACTTCATTCCGGGACACCATGTGATCAATAGCATCAATGCTCTCCATTAGATCATCATTATGACTTGACTCCCTTTCATTACTCTTCTCTTTTCCTTTTGTTGCCCAATCATTAATCCTCTCCTTAGCAGTGGCTGCATTAGACCCAGTTGCCCTATCCTTGCCAAATAAATCCAGCAACTTATCATAGTTGCAAATTGGAGTAGTTTTCCATTTCTCCGCTGCTGGATTTGACTGTTGGCGAAACATAAAAAAACTACATTATCATTATTTCAAGCTAAAACAAAGGCAGAATAAAATGTAACTATTAAAAGAAAAAAAAATAATAAATAAATAATCTCAATTAAATAACTAACCTCAATTAATGAAGCCCAAACTTCAGGTTCAGCATACCACATTTTTGTTGCTTCACTCCAAGCAAACCCACTCAAACCAGTTTTGAATAAGTCAAAACACTCGTTAAATGTTTTCTTTATTGTTTTCAATCGATTCTTCACTTTATCTTTGTTGATATCGATACCTAATCTTTCTTTCAATTCATCAACAATCTCACTGTAAGCTTTTGTTGTAAATGTACCATCAATCATATTCCCCTTCACAAATTGATTGTGCAATGCATCTACAAAAATATCATCCATCTGTGCAGTCCAAACACATCTATCTCTCTTCGACCCACCACTTATGTTTAATTGATTACTCATTCTTATATCTACATAAAAACAAATACAATAGAAAGAAATGAAGGAAAAAATAAATCATTTAACTAAAGGTAAACAAAAACTGTATGCAAGGTAGGAGTTTATAACAAGCTATAATTAGCATTCTACATCTCCAAATGAAGCACTCTGACATAAAATAAGTTACAGAAAAATTAAACATAAGCAAATAAGTTTTAAGTTATTGCAACCAAATAAAACATTTCAAGTATCACATATGATTAGCTACATAGTCATGCCACATGTGGGAAGTTATTGAATCTCTCAAGTGTTCTCCCAAACTATGATCTTCACTTCTTTCCATTGGACCATGCTCTTCATGTGGAGTTTCATTTAAGAGCTCCCGATCTACTTCACTAAAAAGGCTTTCATCCGGATCCATACCCATTAAATAGTTGTGTATGATGCAACAAGCTAAAATGATATCAACTTGAGTTTTAACATCATATGTTGGTTCAGTACTGCTTCCTATGATAGGAAATCGTTTCTTCAACACACCAAAAATTCTCTCAATAACATTGCACAATGATGCATGTCGAAGGTTGAATAACTCTCTAGGATTCTCTGGTCGGCGTGAGGCATATTCTTTTAAATGATAGCGCACACCTCTATAAGGCGTGATAAGTCCAGCCTTTAATGGGTACCCGGCGTCAGCAAGATAAAATTTTCCTATTAAGAATAATAGTAATTAATATTTGCTTCGTATTAAAAAAAATATCTTAAAGATTTTAGTTAATGATAACAAAAATTACCTTCCGGAAGTATTAATTTATCTCCTTGTCTTTTTAGTGCACTAGCCATAACTCTTGAGTCTAAAACATAGGTAAATTTCATGTCAAATGAACAAGCTGCTAACACATTTACTGTTGGATAATTTTTCCTACCACGATATCTGGGTGCATCTTCGTTAGATACTTTCACACGAACGTGTGTTCCATCAATTGCCCCAATGCAATTCTGAGATAAAATCATTATAATAAAAATTTTATGTAATAGTTTATAAAATCGTTAAAATTGAAGTATTAAGTTAAGTACTAATCATGTTCACCTTGAAATATGGATGAAACCTATCGTTATTGAGTATTTCTGGGGGGATGTCCAATCCACTAGGTTGCTTGAGGAACTGTCCTTCCAATGAGATTACTGCTTTTAACACACTATGAAAATGACGGCTTATGGTTTCACCAGAGCGACAAAAGAAAAATGACATTGTCCGATTCCTCACATTATGTGATATAATGTGCAGAAATTTAGCAACTTGCTCTTCAACACTTGCACGTTTTGTGGGTCGAAGACCACCATCTCTTATAAGCATCTCACAGAAATTTTGAAAAGCTTCTGGTCCCATACGAGTAATGTTACGACATTTCTCACTTACCCTAAGCTCGTTCATTAGTTTATCCCGTGTTATTTGTCTTTCAATCTCTGATTGTGTAATAGGTTTATCTACATAGTTTCTACGTTTTTTACGCTTAAACCAATACACGGCAAGGAGAATGACTAGAGTTGCAATTTGGCGTCGTCTTTGTACCCACATAAGATGGAAACGCAGTATGTCATTTTGTTGTTTGTCCATCTAAAATTGTAAAATGCAAAATGATATATTAATAACCAGAAAAAAATGTAGTACTGTTACTTTTTGTATAAATCTACAACTAAAATCTTGTGTTAACCAGTAAGCTGTTTAAAAAACAAAAAAAAAATCTCAATGTGCTCAAATCATTTAATATTGATGACAACTTCAATGTGCTCAAATCAACCCATATGATGGTAATCTTCAATGAACCCATTTTAGCTCATCTGATAAAAGCACACAACCACCACATACTACTGTATCACGGCGAGCAAAGAAGAGCGAGAGCGCTAAAGACTGTAATAGAGATAGGAACGTAATCCACTAATTAACTGAAATCCAAAAATTGATTAAGACAGCTAATTCATATTAACCAATTTCTTCAAATTTTCAAACTTAAATTTCCATTCACTAGCTTCAATTCAAAATGCCAAATTGAATATGAGAAACACCAAATAATTAGTAATTAATTTACTTATAAAGAACACAGAAAAAAAAATGAAAACAATTGAGTACCTTATATTTGCAAAAGAGAAGTCTTCCAATTGAGATCTAAAAGTGGCGAGCTGCTCTTCACAAGATCAATTCGTATATTGATTCTGAAATCAAAAAATAAGAATCAAAATCGATGAAGTCAGATTCATGTGTTGGCGCCAAGCCCTTATGCCGAGGTTCCCCTATCTTGGCAACTCAATCTAAGCCGGGGATGGATAGAAACAGAGACGACGAGCGGAGCGAACGATCAAAGTGATCAACAAAGGATCGACCAAATGTACAAACACAAAGACACACATATATATACTTGTATAAATAGAGAGAAATAGATTGGAAACAAACCTAGCAGCAACGGCAGTCTGCAAATCGCCTAACACACCTTCGCGTCTCCAATTGAGGATTCCAGACCTAGGGTTAGCGTTTCTTCTTTGAGCCGTGTTAAAGAGCCGAAGCCGGAGACGCGAGAGAAGAGGAGATGGAGACGCGAGAGAAGAGATGGAGAAGCTGCTGCGCCCTAATATAGAATTTGGAAGGCTAATTTTGTCTTTTGTTTGCTTTCTCTTCCTTTCCCCTCAAATCTTCTCAATTTTGAGGGGATTTGATTTTACTGTTGTGGAGGGATTTGGAGGGATAGCCTATCCCTCCAAATCTTTCCCAATCCTTTCTTTTCTCTTCTATTCCTTCCATCCAAACACACTTAACACTATCCTTCCCTTTCTTTTCTCTCCAAATCCCTCTAAATCCCTCAATCCAAACGAAGCCTTAAAGTAGAAGCACCATACATTCCGGCGAGAAGTACCATAGATTCCGACGAGAAGTAGAATTCCACCATACATTCCGGCGCGAAGTAGAAGTTCACCACACATTCCGGCGAGAAGTAGAAGACCACCATACATTCCGTAGAAGTCCACCATACAATATTTGTAATTTTGTTTGTTTTTCATCATTTTTATAATTTTTAGTATGTTAAATTTGCAGAGTTTGTGGTTTTAATTATCTATTATAAGTGTTCATTTGTGATCTAGAAATTTTTTTAATTTTGTTAGTTTTTTTGCATTTTCATAATTTTGGTATGTTAAATTGCAAAGTATGTGACTTTATTTATTTGTTATAAGTGTTCATTTGTGATTTAGAAATATTTGTAATTTTGTTATTTTCCTTATTTATTACTATATATCTTGTTATATTTTTTTGTTTCTATATTGTTCATAGTGATCGTGATTATGATCTGTTGTATGTTTCGTATCTTTTGTGGGTGTCCTTGTTAAATCAAATTAAGTAATGAATTTGGAGTATTTGAATTGAAATCCCTTCTCTTGTATTATATATATTACAGTATCATTTTTTATCCAAAATAGATCGATTAATTAATTATATTAGCTTTCATATCTGTCTAATTTATTTTACACATTCATTATGTACTTTCCTCATATTGTACTATCCTTTTAAGGGTTTTAAGAATTGAGAGATAATATGTTTTTCAGTGGAGATATTGTTACATTGAAATTAACTTAATTCAATTTATAATTTTATAACTTAATTCAATTTATAATTTTATAACTTAATTCAATTTATAATTTTACTGTTGCATTGGAATTTATTTGGAATGTCAAATTTAGTTATAGTAATATGTGGATAATAAATTGAGAGATAATCTTAATATATTTTCTAGTGGAGATATATTGCACTGAAATTAAGTTAATTGTACTGTTTTTATTGAAGCTGATTTGAAATGTCAAATTTAGTTAGATTAATAAGTAGTGCCAATGTAAAAAAATATTATGAATTTATACATATCTATGATATTACTCTATTTATTAAAATGTGATGGTTTATTTATTGAAATGTTAATAGTTTTTTTTTTTATAAAACGTTTTGTTGTTCAGTTGAAGCATGTTAGGATTTATTTTGTATGATATGTTCATATAAGTGGTACCACATGTTAGAAAAGTTTATGAATGTTGGGATATGCATCATATTACTTTATCAGAAAAATTTGTGTGAAAATGTTAGTAGAAAGATGTGATGGTTTATTAATTAAAATGTTGACACTTATTTGTGAAAAGTTATGTTGTTCAGTTAAAGTATGTTAGGATATGTTTTGTATGACATGTTCATATAAGTGGTGACACATGTTGGAAAAATGTATAAATATGTGGATATGCATTATATCACTCTATCACTTAAAATGATGTGAAGATGTTAGGTAAAAGATGTGATGGTTTATAGATTTAGCTGTTGACACCTGCTTGTAAAAAGTTATGTTATGTATAAAAGAAGTGTCATTTTTTTGCTTCTCATTTTAAATAATTTTTCTATATGAGGTTAATTTGAAGTATGTTATGATATATTTTGTATGACATATTCATATAAGTGGTGCCACATTTTGAAAAAATGTATGAATGTGTAGATATGTATTAAATTACTTTATCACTTAAAATCATGTTAATATGTTAGGTAAAAGATGTGATGGTTTATATATTAAACTGTTAACATCTGTTTGTAAAAAGTTATGTTGTTATGTATAAAAGATGTGTTATTATTTTTGTGTGACTTGTATCAGTAAAAATATGAATTAAATTCAACATCAAATAAATATTTTTAGAATGACATATAATTTATAAATTTAACATATTTTATGTTGTTATGTCATTCTAAAATATATTTGTTTGATATTGAATTTAATTTAAATTTTTATTGATAGAAGTCACATATTGATACAAGTCACATAAAAATAATATATGAAACATGTTACAAGTTAGTTAAGATGCTACATATATTTTAGGTTTGAAACATATTACGTTAAATTAATGACGTTATTCATAAAATATGTTTATTTGCATATGTACAAATATTTAGAAGAAATAAATTAATCCATAAACTTAACATATTTTACGTTATTATGTTATTCTAAAACATATTTGTTTGATGTTAAATTTAATTCATGTTTTTACTGATACAAGTCACATAAAAATAATATATGATACATGTTACAAGTAAGTTAAAATGTTGCATACAATTTAGGTTTGAAACATATTATGTTTAATTCCTGTTATTATTCGTAAAATATGTTTATCTGTGTAAGTGCAAAAATTTGAAAGAAAGAAATTTGAGGAGGCCCTGGATGACATGGGCCAGGTCCGACTCGCAAAACACAACCTTCAGTCCGAACAGCTGGGTCAGCCCATAGAAAGACACTGCCATATGGGCCGAGCGGGAGTAAGCCCATCAAGAGTGACCAGGGCTTACTGAGGAATAGGCCCAGGTCCAGCAATTAGTAAATATCTTGTAAATATCTTGTAAATATCTGGTAAGTATCTATAAATAGGAGTTGGAATGAAGAGGAGAAGGATCTTGATTCGGGTTGAGGTGTAAGAATTCTAGAGAGAGAAAGAATAGAAGGAGTTTCTTGCATCTTCAATTGGCGCCGTCTGTGGGAAACGCATAAAAGTTTGGTTGATCAATGAGGAGTATCGAATGGATTCAAACCAATTCGGTTGATCGAGACTCGATCTTGCGGATTTGAATCCAGATCTGAGCGATTGTGACCTACTCTGGAGGAATTACGATTCTTGAAGCTTTGGCAGGAGTGACTTCAGATCTACGCAACCGCGAGTTGCTCGATTGTGACAGGATCTGACGGATTTAGAGTCCAGGCAATTCAGATCTTGTAAACAGTGAGCATAATTCGGAGAATTAGAAGCCAGATCTAAAAATTCCTACTCACGAAGCTTAGATCTACTCGCGAACTTGAGATTAATGCCTTTACTCCGTTCGGGAATAATGATAGGTGAAAGCTCCAATCCGATGGAGGCTGTCCAGCAAACAAAGCTTGAAGAGTTGATGAATTTGATTGAAGCTCTCAGAAAAGAAAATGCAGAATTGAAAGCTGGATTGCAGCATCGGCAAATACCCGCAGTCTCGCATCCGCTTCCGGTCGGAGAAGGAGGTGTTCCATCTAGTATCGCGCATCAAGGCGATCAGAACGAGAACAATCAGTCAGCTCACCACCGTGATGAAAGGATGATGGACAATTCGCCGCCAAATGTTCGTCGAGTTGAAGATCACGAAGGCTCGACTCACGTTGATCCGCAGCGGGAAAGGTTTGACCGAGAGGAAGTGATGGAGGTAGATCGCCGTCGAGTAGCGTCGCCTTGGCAGAGAGAGTTCATAGAGGAACGGTCGTTCGATCCGTCTTACCGGCCCTCCATGGTTACTGTCACTCATCACGGTTCGGAGGGCAGAACCGTAACTCACAGAGCTACCGCTGGACTCCAGAGAGAGAATGAAGCTCTCCGATCCGCAGCTCGGACGGTGGATTCACCATTCACCGACGAGATCTTGAATGCGCCGCATCCAAGGAAGTTTGCTATGCCAGTCTTTATTCTGTTTGACGGAACAACCGATCCGATCGATCATGTGTATCATATCCAGTTGAAAATGGCCCTGAATACGGAAAACGACTCTTTAATGTGCAAATGCTTCCCTACAAGTCTGGCCGGACCGGCGCTCAGCTGGTTCAAAAACTTGCCTAGGAGCTCCATTGGCAGTTTCAGGGACCTGTGCGATCGGTTCATAAGCCAGTACTATGGGAACAAACGCCCGCCGAAGGACATCTCGAGCCTGTTCACGATGCGGCAACACAAGGATGAACGGCTCCAGGCCTTTCTTACCAGGTTTAATCTCACTAAGAGTATGGTAATCGAATGCCATCCTTCTACGGCAGTTCAAGCCTTCAAGTTAGCCATGACACGCGGAACTCCGTTTCACACCAGTCTGGTAGTGAATACGCCAGCTACCATGGATGAACTCAATGAGAGAGCCGATGGCTTTGTGCGCCTCGAAGAAGAGGAGGCAGCTAATGCTCGGACAACGTCGCTTGTGTCGACCGAGGAAAAGTCCAAGGCAAAGATCAGGCAGAAGCAGGCTCAGCCGCAACGTCAGACCACTTGGAAGGCCGAAAAAAGGTCTAGGGAGGAAGAGTTGATTACTCCGCTGAAGGTCACTCTGGCGAGGTTGTATCAGGAGAACAAGGACAAGTTTCATCCACCACTGCCAATTAGACAACCCCTCGAACAGAGGGATCAAACTAAACATTGTGCTTTTCATTCTGATTTCGGACATCAGACTAACGAATGCAGGAACCTGAGGAGGCAAGTGGAGATGTTGATAGCTAGAGGGGAGTTTGCGAGTTATGTTCAAGGCTCGGCGATGGAGCAGAATCGACCAGTGGAACAAATAAAAAGGAGTCATAAACAAAGCTCCCACAATTCGCAACCAGTTCGTATAATCAATGCTATCCATGGTCGACCCGAGCCTAGTGAAGAGCCAGATGAGCTGCTACGGGTGCGCCTGCGGCAGGCGCAGATGAAGAAAAGGGTCGGCAATGTGACCACTCTACACCAACAGAGCCCGTTAATGCAGATAAAGTTCGACTGGACAGACCTGCAGCGTGTCCAACTGCCTCATGACGACCCGTTGGTAGTCAGTTTGACAGTGGCAGAGTGCTTGGTGCGCAGAGTTCTAATCGATCCTGGGAGCAGTGCGAATGTTATGCCGAGGGACACATTTGACAGGCTCGACATTAAACCAGAGAGGCTCAAGCCCACCGGAAATCCCTTATTAGGGTTCGATGGGAAGAGGGTGGAACCCGTCGGGATGGTGGAAGTAGAAGTTCAAGCTGCAGAGCGAGCTCTTATGGAAACTTTTGTGGTTGTGAAAATTCACCCTTCGTATAATCTCCTGATGGGAAGAGGATGGATTCACAGAGTCTGAGGTGTACCCTCAACTCTGCATCAGGTCATGAGGTGCCTCGGGCCCGATGGAGATAAAGTGATAGACATTCGGGGGGATCAGGTCGCAGCCAAAGAGTGTTATTCCGTCACACTAAAGCATGCAGGGAAGGGAAAGGCGCCCGTCCGGTCGACAAGCCCCAGATAGCAATTACAGGAACCTCCACTCGAGCAGAATAGGGTGGAGAAGTCAGCCGACTTGACCGAGGAGCCCCTTCTGGATGTGCAGATCGATCAGTCCAGGCCAGAACGAACTACCAGAGTGGGTATAAGACTGACCAGAGAAGAGCAACAAGAGCTAGTGGATTTCTTATCCCACAATGTCGACGTATTTGCATGGAGTCACCTCGACATGCCTGGAATTAGTCCTTCCGTCTCCTGTCATTCCCTGAATGTCAATCCTAATTTCAAACCAGTGAAACAGAAGCAGCGAAGATTTGTTCCAGAACGTAATCAGATCATAACGGAAGAAGTTGATAGGCTGCTTGATGCGGGATTTATCAGAGAGGTGCACTACCCTGAGTGGTTGTCCAACGTCGTTGTGGTGCAGAAGAAAAATGGGAAATGGCGCGTATGCATTGATTTCACCAATTTAAACAAAGCCTGCCCGAAGGACAGTTTCCCGTTGCCTAAGATTGATCAAATGGTGGATGCCACCACGGGGTATGAGCGTTTAACCTTTCTGGACGCATATTCAGGTTATAATCAGATTCCTATGGACCCCGCAGATGAAGAAAAAACTTCTTTTGTCACCGAGCGAGGAACATACTGCTACAAGGTTATGCCTTTTGGATTAAAGAATGCGGGAGCAACTTATCAACGACTTGTCAGCAAAGTTTTTAAGAATCAAATGGGTAAGATTGTCGAAGCCTATATTGATGACATGGTGGTGAAAAGTAGGAAAAAGGATGATCATCTGAAGCATCTGCAAGAGGTATTTGATGTGCTAAAGCGATATGGGATGAGGCTCAATCCGACCAAGTGCTCGTTCGGTGTGAGTTCCGGGCAGTTTCTGGGACACGTGGTCAACCGCAGGGGCATCGAAGTTAGCCCCGCTCAAGCAGAGGCTTTGATTAAGAATGCCGAGCCAAAGACGATCAGAGAGGTGCAAGCCCTAACAGGACGAATAGCTGCATTAAGTCGATTTATTTCAAAGTTGTCAGACCACTGCAAACCATTCTTTGACACGATTCGGAGCCATGGAAGGCAGGTCTGGGGGGATGAGCAACGACAGGCATTGACTCATTTGAAGCAATATATGCAGAATCCGCCAGTCCTGTCAGCCCCAGAACCGGAAGAAAAGTTATTTCTATATCTTGGAGTATCTGGTGTCGCGACGAGTGCCGTTCTGATTCGTTGCAAGGAAGGGGTGCAATACCCAGTATTTTATGTAAGCAAAACACTGATGGAGGCAGAAAAAAGATACTCAAAGGCCGAACGGGTGGTACTTGCACTTGTAAATGCAAAAAGAAAGTTAAGGCATTATTTTGAATCCCACCCCATAGCTGTTCTAACAACTTTCCCAATCAGAACGCTCATGCACAAGCCAGAGCTCTCGGGCAGAATGACAAAGTGGGCCATAGAGTTGAGTTCATTTGACATAACGTACGAGCCGAGAACAGCTATTAAAGGGCAAGCGGTGGCCGATTTCCTACTAGAATGTGATGCCGAAGATACGGAAGAGGACCTTAGAAGCGGCTCTTGGAAACTTTTTGTGGATGGCTCCTCTAACCAGACGGGGGCTGGGATTGGGATCAAACTGCAAACCCCAGAGGGTACTTCCTTGAGCCAAGCACTCAGACTTGAGTTCCGAGCCACCAATAATGAAGCGGAATACGAGGCGTTGCTAAATGGATTAAAGTTGGCCAAAGAGCTACAGATCAAAAGTTTGACAGTGTATAGTGACTCGCAGCTGATTGTTCGGCAGGTAAATGGTGAGTACGCAACCAAGGATGACATGATGGGGGCATACCGTTCTGACGTTCTGCGTAGAGCCAAGGACTTTGCAAAGATTGAATTCATACAGTTGCCGAGGGAACAGAATGCAGATGCAGACCGTTTAGCATGCAGTGCTTCAAGTTGCGGTGAAACATTGGCGAGGGTGATTCCAGTGGGAATAGTGACCCAGCCGTCCATTTTCGAAGAACCGATGGTCTCGGACCCTTGGCAAGTCAACGTCATACCGTATGAACCGAGTTGGATTGACCCAATCATTACCTATATTCGAGATGGCGTTTTGCCTATGCAAAGGGATGAAGCTAGGAAACTCAAAAAGAATGCTGCCAAGTACGCCATCGTGCGGAACCAGCTGTACAGAAGGTCCTATTCTGGCCCGTACTTGAAATGTGTCACCCCCGCGGAGTCGCAGCAGGTATTGCGAGCTATTCATGAGGGTGTGTGTGGCAATCATTCTGGGGGAAGATCGTTAGCGCATAAAGCAATGACACAAGGGTATTTTTGGCCAAACATGTCAAGAGATGCGGAGGAGTTCTCTCGAAGGTGCGATAAGTGCCAACGATATGGACCAATGATCCACCAACCACCTGAAGAATTGCACGTAATGGCCTCGCCGTGGCCTTTCGCGCAATGGGGGATGGATGTGGTCGGTCCTCTGCCAACTGCAAGAGCTCAGAACAAGTATGTGTTACTGGCCACGGATTCTTTCACTAAATGGGTGGAGGCAGAACCGTATCCTAGCGTGACTCAGACTCAGGTGAGACGATTTATCTGGAACAACATTATCTGCCGCTTCGGTGTTCCCAGAACAATAGTCATGGACAATGGCACAAACCTCAACAGCAGGCAAGTAAGAAAGCTGCTGGAGGAGTATGGAATCAACCAGAAGTTGGCTGCAGTAAGTCATCCTCAGGCTAACGGACAAGCAGAAATCACAAACAGAACCATTTTCGCCTGCATTAAGAAGAAGCTGGAAGATCATAAGGGGAAGTGGTTGGATGAACTCCCGAACGTTCTATGGGCTTACAGAACCACCCCAAGGCGGCCGACTGGGGAGAGCCCGTTCGCGATGGCGTATGGTACCGAAGCAGTTATACCGGTTGAGCATTTAGTCCCCACTATCAGAAGCTTAGCATGGAGTCGAGATCAGAACGACAAGATGTTAAGATTGAACCTCGACATGATAGACGAAAGGAGGGACGCAGCGGCTATAAGGCTAGCATCGTATCAGCAAGTGCTGGCGAATAGTCACAATAAGAGAGTAAAACACAGGGATTTTGCCCCGGGCGATCTGGTTCTGAAAAGAAAGGTGGGGATGGTCAAAAAAAATGATGCCACCCTGGGAAGGCCCATACAGAATTGCAGAAGTCATTGGCAAAGGGGCATATACGTTGGAAACCATGGCGGGAAAGTTGGTCAGCAAGCCCTGGAACGCCACGTCTCTGAAGAGGTACTATCAATAGAAGCTAAGTTCTGGTTTTAATTGGATGTTATTTGTTGTCAATCAAATACATATGAATGAGCAAGTTACCGGAATTTACAAAAAAAGAAGAGAAGAATTTCTTTTCCAATGGTCTACTATAAAAATTTAAAGCCAAGTGGCAAGTGGCATTCTAGCCGAGCGCCAGGCACTTAAGCAAGATAAGTGGCAGCTGGCACTATAAGCCGAACGCTAGACACTTGCTAAAAATTTAAAGCCAAGTGGCAAGTGGCATTCTAGCCGAGCGCCAGGCACTTAAGCAAGATAAGTGGCAGCGGGCACTATAAGCCGAACGCCAGACACTTGCTAAAAATTTAAAGCCAAGTGGCAAGTGGCATTCTAGCCGAGCGCCAGGCACTTAAGCAAGATAAGTGGCAGCTGGCACTATAAGCCGAACGCCAGACACTTGCTAAAAATTTAAAGCCAAGTGGCAAGTGGCATTCTAGCCGAGCGCCAGGCACTTAAGCAAGATAAGTGGCAGCTGGCACTATAAGCCGAACGCCAGACACTTGCTAAAAATTGAAAGCCAAGTGGCAAGTGGCATTCTAGCCGAGCGCCAGGCACTTAAGCAAGATAAGTGGCAGCTGGCACTATAAGCCGAACGCCAGACACTTGCTAAAAATTTAAAGCCAAGTGGCAAGTGGCATTCTAGCCGAGCGCCAGGCACTTAAGCAAGATAAGTGGCAGCTGGCACTATAAGCCGAACGCCAGACACTTGCTAAAAATTGAAAGCCAAGTGGCAAGTGGCATTCTAGCCGAGCGCCAGGCACTTAAGCAAGATAAGTGGCAGCTGGCACTATAAGCCAAACGCCAGACACTTGCTAAAAATTTAAAGCCAAGTGGCAAGTGGCATTCTAGCCGAGCGCCAGGCACTTGCCGTACAAACACACAGCAAAGCTAATATAAAAAGAAAAAGAGAGAAAAGATATATATGTACTGAAGATAAGTTGAACAGAGCACAACACATAGAGAAAAAGAGTTCGGCCATTTCATTAATATTGAACATTTAGTTTACAAAAGAGAGGTGTCCATCATTACAAGAAGATATGAACTGGAAGAATTCGAAGGAGCCCTAGCTAGACGCCTCAGTACCAACAGCATCCTGGTCCTGCCGACTCGCCTCCTCGGCCCCATCAGCCGCCTCACCTTCATGAGGTGGGGAATCCAGGTGAATAACTGAGTCGTTCGGCTGGGGTTCAGCGTCAGCAGTGGCTACAGAGGGAGCCACGGTTGACGATTGGGGAGCGGTCAGTGGCAGAGCGGTAGGAGGAGCTGTGATGATCCTTGAGGATGCGATGTCCTGGCACTTATCAAATATACGCTCCGCTTCGGTGGGTTCTGGGTCGACATAGACCCCCAGAGGCTCGATCCCCAGATCCTTGTCTACCTCATCCGGAGTGGAGCTGGTCTGTCCCTCATCCGGAACCCGGTCGGCGAAGCCTTCCCGGAATCCTTGAGCATACCGAAGAGCACCGACCCTGGAGAACCGAGCATGAAGGGCCAGCATCCCACCACCCACTCTGCTGATAGCGTCGATCAGAGCGGTACGCTCGTCCAGAGCTCTTTTTTCAAAAGCCATCCGAGCAGACTGTTCATCAGCTAGAAGACGTTGGAGTTCTGCCTTCTCTTCTCTGAGTGATTCCTGCTCAGTCTGCCAGACGCTCTTCTCGAGCTGGAGGGCGTCCTTCTCATCCTGAAGGGAATCATTCTCCTTTTTCAGGACATCTCTCTCTTGCTCGGCTTTGTCAAGCCGAACCAGCACCTCGGTATTCTTCATGGCAAGGAGGTCGTTCTCTTTATTAGCCACCTCCAGGCTGTCAGAATACTTTCGGGCCCTGGCGTTCCCCATTTCCACCTGCTTCTGCATGGCCATCATCCCGAACAATGTCTGCATAGGTGCACAATAAGAACGGTTAAACCAATAGTCAGAACGGGAGAAGGCAAGACCAAGTAATATAAGAGAGTTCATGAGTTAGAAAATAAAAGTCACCTCCATAGCAGATTGGGGAAAGCGACTGAACACGTCCTTCTGGGAAAGGCCCTTTGCCGCCTCAATGTCCTTCGGAGTCCACATGCTCCTGTAGTAGGCCATAGCGGTCTGGCCATCCTTCAGCATGGTCTCGTTCGGTTTCACGAACGTCCCATCCGTTCGAGTGTACCGAGGGGCCCATGGCGGCAAGCTGGGGATAGAAGGGGGACCTGAAGCAGAAGCAGAGCCACCAGCTGCAGGAGGCCCAGAGTGAGAAGGAGCTCTGATCGCTCGGTGCAAGAGAGTACCCGGCCCAGAGACTCGGGTCCTTCTAATAAGAGGCTCCTCCTCAGGGTCGATTTCACTGTCAGGATGAGGCCTTTTGCCTCGCTCTTTGTCCCGACCGCCCCCCGCAGCAGCAGGAGCTATGGTAGCTGGGGAGGGCGCGTTCTGGTTGGCCGCAGGGGCGCTGGCAGCAGGGTTAGTAGCCACTGCGCTCGGGACAGTGTCAGATATGGTGGCTGAAGAAGAAGCCGACGCTGGAGAGGAGGTCGCCCCAGCAGCAGGAATGACTGGGGGAGTATTTTTCCTCCTGCCAAAAGAGGGAATCTGCAGTCTGCTCATATTGTAGCCGAGTGATGAGAGCGCAAAGAGGTTGTCTGAAGTGAGGAGATCTGAGCAGGAAGGAATATCGTTCAGAACGTATCTCTTCAAGTAGTTAATCCTATCCCTGCAAACACTGTAGCTCAAGTCATCACAAGGTATTCCCAAGGAGCGGCATAAGTAAGTGCAAAAACGAGGAACGCATGTTTCACAGGGGCAGTCGTGTTTATGGGATTTGAATTTTTTATAGGAGGAGACAGAGCAGACACCAAAGGCGCTCGGGATTGGGTAATCCTCTGCAGCCGGCGAAGACCAAGCCCCACTAATACCCACTATGCTATCCCTCCAACCCTTTTCAGATTTTATTGTGTCAGTGCATATGGACATCTTCTCGAACGGGTAGAGGTGGTAGAAGGGCTCGTTAGTACGGATCTTACTGACCTTATAGCACAGAAGGAGGTCTATGAGGTCAAGGTCCAGATTTCTGTCACGCATCAATAAGAGCATAACAGATATGATCCTAAAGAAGTTGGGGTTGACCTGCAGAGGGGATATCCCCAATCTGTTGAAGACGTAACTAAAGAAAGGGTGCAGAGGGAACCTAACAACATTCAGTTGAAGGTTTGTGAATAAGACTTCGCCGGGCAGGAGGCCGGCGCCGGTCGTAATATTAACGTCTTGGGGGCAAACCCTAACTACGATGTTGTCAGGAAGTCTAAGTCTCATACGAAGAACACCCAGATCTACAACCATGGTGGAAGTGCAAGAAGAATCTAAAAGAGGGAAAATGGAAGCCTGCCGAAAGTAAAAAGAACGAAACTAACCTCGGAGGACTGCAAGATCGCTGGGAGAATGACTCTCGAAGGATTTCACCGGAAAAGGCTTAGCACAGTTCTAGAAAGAGGGAGATTTGGCTGATGATGGAGACGGTAAAGGGAAGTGAAGTGGAATTCTAGAGCATTATATAGGCAAGGGGGCCCGAGGGCCGAAGCGTCGGGAAGGCAAGAAATCCCTCGAACCCCGGAACATTGATTCTGGATCTGACCGTTCGCTCCCCCACGTAGTTATCTCGAGCCGTCAGCGTCATGATGAGACGCCATCAATAATTACCCCTTATTAAATAAGGGGCAATTATGGGGGCAGTTGAGGAGGCCCTGGATGACATGGGCCAGGTCCGACTCGCAAAACACAACCTTCAGTCCGAACAGCTGGGTCAGCCCATAGAAAGACACTGCCATATGGGCCGAGCGGGAGTAAGCCCATCAAGAGTGACCAGGGCTTACTGAGGAATAGGCCCAGGTCCAGCAATTAGTAAATATCTTGTAAATATCTTGTAAATATCTGGTAAGTATCTATAAATAGGAGTTGGAATGAAGAGGAGAAGGATCTTGATTCGGGTTGAGGTGTAAGAATTCTAGAGAGAGAAAGAATAGAAGGAGTTTCTTGCATCTTCAAAATTATTCTATAAAGTTAACATGTTTTACGTTGTTATGTCATTCTAAAAAATATTTGTTTGATGTTGAATTTAATTTGATTTTTTATTGATACAAGTCACACAAAAATAATATATGATACATGTTATAAGTAAGTTAAGATGTTACATATAATTTAGGTTTGAAATATATTATGTTAAATTAATGATGTTATTCGTAAAATATGTTTGTTTGTATAGTTGCAAAATTTTGGAAGAAAAAAATAAATTCATAAATTTAACATGTTTTACGTTGTTATATTATTCTAAAACATATTGGTTTGATATTCAATTTAATTCATATTTTTATTGATTCAAGTCACATAAAAATAATATATGATAATTTAGGTTTGAAACATATTACGTTTAATTTCTGATGTTATTCGTAAATGTCTATGTGCAAAGATTGGGAAGAAAAAAATTAATCCATAAATTTAACATGTTTTACATTGTTATGTCATTCTAAAATATATTTGTTTGATATTGAATTTAATTCATATTTTTATTGATACAAGTCATATAAAAATAATATATGACTATATGTATCAATATATTTATAGATACAAGAGAAGAAAAAAAAACAGAAATATAACGTAATTGGAAACCATTAAAAACATAATATATATATATATATATATATATATATATATATATATATATATATATATATATATATATATATATTACCATTAAAAACAGATAATATACCATTAAAAACGTAATGTATATGATTAAAAATATAGTTTTCTCTCTCTAGATTTCTCCCTAATTATATATAGGGTAAAGTGCATTAAATCCCCTTGAACTATTGGTCATTTGCAAGAAACCCCCCTGAACTACAAAAAAAAACCCCTGAACTATAATTTTGTTGCAATTTACCCCCTTGAACTATTGGTCATTTGCAAGAAACCCCCCTGAACTACAAAAAACCCCCTTGAACTTTGATTTTGTTGCAATTTACCTCCCTGAACTATGATTTTGTTACAATTTACCCCCATGACATCAGCTTCCGATACCGAAAATTTTGAAAGACCAGTTTACCCTTATAACACACCGCGTTATTTTAACTTATACACTTCTTACATTTTTTTTTTTTTTTTTTCTGCCAAAAGATATTTTTCACCCAACACAACCCAAAACAGAGAGCTAGAGAGAGAGAGAGAAGAGACCAAAGAAATCCGAGGTCGGCGGGATGGCTCGATCTCGGATGATGGGGGCTTGTGCGCAAAGGACTCGGCTGTGATGAGAGCTCGGTTGACTCGGCCGTGAACTGTAGAGGTGGCGGCGAGCTCAAGGGGGCTCGGCGATGAACTGTGGACGATTGTGTGCTCGAAACACGGACGACGGTGTGCTCGGCTATGGAGATGGAGGAATGGGCCGACGAGCTTGGAATTGACGATGGACTGGACCGGCGAGCAAGGTGAGCTGAACGACGGGCAAGGCGGTGACGGCGATGGGCTGACGCAACAATGCAGAGAAGTGCGATATATATGGCCGACAGATCTGGCGGGTGGTGCAACAACTATGATAGAGCTATAACAGGAGACCCACCGATCCCAGCAACAGATTTCTTGGCTTATCCAAACACTCCTCAGACGACATCTACCACTCCGATCCCAGCCACAAATTCCTCTGCTTTATTGTCCCTTTCAGTCAATCAATTCGCGCGGATGGGGTAAACTACAAAAAAATATATAGTTCAGGAGGGTTTCTTGCACATACTCCAATAGTTCAGGGGGGTTTTTTGCAACTTTTATAATTCAGGGGGGTTTCTTGCGCATACCCCAATAGTTCAGGGGGTTTTTTTGCAACTTTTATAGTTCAGGGAGGTTTCTTGCACATACCCTAATAATTCAGGGGGGTTTAATGCACTTTACCCTTATATATATTATCTATTTCATGATTTTTTTTATTTGAAAAAGTAAAAAAGAAACAGATGATGCAATTTCGGCATCGACGATATTTTCGGCTAGATCAAGTGAATTCCAGGAGAAAAGGAAGGTTGAGATAAGAAAGGTTGAGATTGGTATTGGTCTTTGTCTTGGTGTTGCGAAACTCACGCATCACCGTATCGTAAGAGAGGAGGTTTTGCTCATTTGAATCCACGATGAACTCCATCTCTACTTCTGCCATGGTTGGACCTCTGTGTGTATGAGAGGTTTGAGATCTCGTTTTTGGTCTTTAATTTTGAAAAAAGAAGTTTAGAAGAACAACAAAGGAAGAGATGGTGCTCCTTTGAATCCACGATGAATTCCATCTCTACTTCCGCCATGGTTGCATCTCTCTGTGCATGAGAGGCTTGGGATCTCATTTTTTAGTTTTTAATTTTGAAAAGAGAAGTTTAGAAGAGCAACAGGGGAAGAGAGAGATGGAAGGCAGATATATGGTAGATTATATGGTATAAGTATGTTTGTATATGTCATTTGTACCTGTGGTAAAAATAAAGTAGCTTAGTAAACTTTTTTATTTTTGTACTGAGTTGGCGATGATGTGACATAATTTGAACAAGTGGCTAGATCATAGTCATTGGATCTTCAATGGACCCTCTTCGATGAGAGGTGCCCTGGAAAGGATGTGCGCCCTATTGTAATTGCCTGTATATAAATGTCATCTAATGTGGATAAGATTGTGGGTGGGGATGAGAAAAGCAAAATGAAGTGACGTGACGTGACGATGGCTATCATTCTTGCATTTTGGCATCTGTAGAATTACATTATCCTAGAAACACAATAAAGACTCAATTATGCAATAGGTAGTTCCATCATAACAACATTTTTTTTTTCTTCTTTAATTTAAAATTTGATATAAGACTTTATTCTAATGTATTGCGAAGGGAAAAAAAAAAAAGAAACGAAAAAAGAAAAACTGTTAAAGAATATACTAAATGTTAAAGTACACTATCTTCAATAATTTAATATCTTAGAACAGATAATGATTAATATAATATTAGAGTCAAAAATCTCAATTTTAAACTGTCACCTTTGTAATTAAATTGACAAAGTTTTACATGTGTTTCTGGTAGATCAAAAATGAAATATTATTAAAAAAATATATCAAAGTTAAAGAGTTTGGATAAAGATATTTTGAATATTGTGTTGTGATGTTGTCATTGTACT